AGGGTCGTCCCAATATGCGTTTTTGCAATTTGCATATAGGCAAAAACGCATAAAAACGACCGCTAAGCGGAAATTTTTTATTTCCTTTTATGCAAAATTTACGATGATTTATGGTACTGAGCGCACAAGGTAGGTGTGAAGAAACAGTCGTTTATGCAGTTAATCTAATTACTTCAAATTTGGCGCAAAAACGCATGGTCGCACCGGCTCGCCTGGCGCACTTCAGCCTGGGTTTAAATCTTCATTTCATACTTTCTCTAATAACAGTCTTAGTGACCCTCTTTGCCAAGATTTTATGAAAAGCTGGCACCTAGCATTTCTTCTAGCCCTGTCCAACTGCTTTACTACCAGCCAGGCCATGACTAGTAATATAAAAAAACTTGCTATGTTTGAAATACATGAAATTTTTTTGCAACAATTTGCGGGAGATGGCCGGGACAAAAACGAGGCTTCGATTAATCGTACTTGTTATGTAGCACTCTGTCTGGGTAATATAAAAGGCTTCATAATGAGGAAGCTTGTTCAGTATCCCTGAGATTTTTTGGTATGCATGCCGCTTGAGATTAATGCGCAATGTCAGTAAACATACAGGTAACATGAAGCTTTACGCTCCAAGATTCATCCGGCGGTATCCCATTGCTAGCAACACAAACGTATTCGCTCATGTGCTTCCGACTCACTTTCGTAATCGTCAGCTCGGAGCCATTGAAAACACTTGCTGAAAATTGGAAGCCCTTCCTGTTCGTAATTAGGTAATAGCACACTAAACTGGCATGTAATGACCACTTCCACCAGTTCTGAAATTTCAACCTCCATATCCAGTGGCGCCATTGAATCGGATGATTTGTCGATCCTGCCTCCTCCAGACGACAGTTGGTGGTGGTTCGCCATACGCCCGACACGACAGCGTAACATTATGCCCTTCACGTACTTCCACAGCCGATGCTGTTGTCCGTGCTACATACGGCGGCACTGAACTTCAAACTCTTTTAGATCAGTTGTTATAAAAATGACTCATGAATAGCTTTTTTTTC